ATCATTTTTCTCTGATTCACTCTGGCTTCGATTCCGAGCGAAAAAGCTTTCTAAAGTTCGAACACGTTTTCGATGTGACATGTTACTGCGCTTTTCACAAACATACGAATTTTGAAGTTCAAAGGCCAACTGAGGATTGGGTTTTGTCGCTGCAGTCAATCATCTTAACGGAACTCTTAGGAAACAAAATTTTACTTTCACGGGTTCAAAAGGTCATGGTTTGTGATTTGTCATGGGTGGATTTCAATCCGTTTCATGTGTTTCTGTGTTTCAAGGTTCGTTGCTTGTGATCGTAATTATGATTGAGGGCAGCGAAAAACGTAATTGTGAAGGCGGCTTTTGAACTTTTGAGTTTTTGAGTTCGCATGTTTGTGAAAAGCGTAGTAAAGATTGCCACGTGCGTTCACCACGCTTGGTTGAGCATGAGACGTACGTGTTCAGTAAAGTGTGACTGAAACGTGACTTTAGAATGAACTTTAAACGTGCAAGAAAATATACTTTCCACATTCTGTTTTAGCTTGCAATTTCTGTACCGAGAGAAAACTCTTCGTGTGTGCTTCCTTTCGAGTTTTTTCCCTAAATGACCGTTTTTTTAAGGGACAATTTCAGTTGCAGTGCGGGATTGGCGCAATGGCGCGGCCTGGCTCAAACCCTGCCTGACTGTTTAAAAACTGTCCTAGCAGGCCTTAGGCAATGGTTAGAAAACGGTATGGAGACTGTGCATACGGTTTTTTATTGGGGCTAGGCAGCTGACCCTCTACTTCCCTTTTTACCCAGTAACAATGTCATCAGAGACAAACATTTTTACAGCTTTCATAGAGTTTTAGGGGAGCGGAGGCAAGGGGAGATGTACAGTTCTCATTATGTCAACTGTGCCAATAGTTAGACTTCCATTGTAGGTTGTTACCATGGCAAAAACCTAACCTGTTTGAAACACCCTTAATTAAATTAGTACATTTAATTCTCTTCATTTAAATACCACCTAGAAATTTTATCCATCCGAATTTTTCAGTACCAAATAAACTGAATGTTCCATTAATCCAACCAGATCCTTGATAAATTAAACCAAGTATTTCACTGGTAATTACACTATTGTAAACATTTGAAATTTTTATTATTACATTTTTATATATTTATGTTTTCTATTTATTTTTGGTCTTTTAATTTATTTTTTTTTTGGCAGAATTGTTAAGGAAATTGAAGCCGTTCTTGGTTCCCATCAGTTTTTGGAATACAAGGATCTTGGCAACCTTCAGTTCCTGGGTCAGACTCTCAAGGAAGGTTTGCGACTTCACCCTCCAATCGGAGGCATAACGCGCATAACCACCAGAGATGAGAACATTGGGGGTTACATCTTTCCTGCTGGTACCTCTGTGAATATCAGTCAGTTCTTGATGCACCGCCATTTAGATTCATGGAAAGATCCACTTCAATTTGATCCTGACAGATTTTCACCTGAGGTAAAAGGTGAAATTCCACACTCTGTTTACTTCCCATTCTCTCTCGGCCCTCGGACTTGTATTGGACAAACATTTGCTCAGATCGAGGCTCGAGTGTTTATGGCGCGGCTGCTGCAGCAGTTTGAGTTGACACTCTGTCCTGGTCAGGATGATATGAAACACGAGGAGGCTTTGACCCTGAGGCCCAAAGGGGGTGTGCTTTGTACTCTCAAACGAAGACACGAAAACTGAAGCAAACCAAAGAGACCCGTGTGAATTAGGCAAAAGTAATTAGAGAAATTTTCAATGAAGTGACGAAAAGAATCCGGTTTTGTGTTGGCTTTTCTTTAACCACGCCTGGTGATTGGTCTAGAAAATTAACGCCCCCATTTCAATCAATCAGATCCAATTGAAAACATATTTTCGCATGGTCACATCACAGCGGTCAAACGGCTGCGCATGTTGTTGTAGAAGCTAGGTGGTTTTATTTCAGGTGTTCAATACCAATGTTTCCTTTAAGAGTGATTGTGGTTGTTTCTCTTGTTTTCTTTTGTAATTTTGCGCCCAAGTTTTGTTCACGGCCAGCTAAAAATCGAGCCCCTCGCACATGCCTGACGTGTGACCGCTGTGTTCTTAGCCACACACGTTTTCCCGCGTCAGAGACTCTTTCCATGCGATGAAGTTTGACATATTATTATACATAAGTGTCAATTTCTTAATTTTCGTTGGCTCTAATATTTAGGTGTGGTTTGATTTTTGTCTTTGCTACGAGCAATTGGAAATTTTATATTAATAATGGTTCTATATAAGTCATTAATATTAAGTTATGTTTTTCCATCTGGCGATGGTTTTCATACAATACAATACAATACAATTATTTTACTAGTTTTTTTCCAAGTGGAGTTTCCACAATTAATTTACATCAATGTCACTTCACTCATTGCTAAAAATTCGTTTACAATTATTACGATACAATTTCCGAAATTGTTGAAAATAACACAATAAAATAATTGTGAAATAAATTGATCCAATACCACATTTTCCAAACGAACATCATCTTTACGAACGCTTGGGAATATCCATAATAAACAATTGTCGCATTCGGTTTTTGCATTATAGCGAGAATAATCAAGGCCTTTGGCAAACACAGACCTCGGCCTTAAAATAGAATTCTCTCCATCATGCTTAACCTCATCCAATAATTGTTTACTGTTTAGCTTTAGGTGCTTCTTACCCTTGTTCTCACAAGCTGTTGTGATTGGACCAGAAAACTAAGACTACTGTTTCAACCAATCAGATCCCATCGAAAACTTTTTTTGACCTTGACACATACGTTATTTTTCCGCGTTGGAGACTATCTGCTTGTGATGAACTTTGAGTTCGTAGTGTAAATCACGTGGTGATGCTTACTTTTGTTCTGCTTGGCCTCAGTGATTATGTAAGTTTTATATTTACATTGTATGCTAACGACAACAAAAAAAAACCCTCCATTTCACAGTTTTCTTACTCGAGATAAAAGCTTGAAAATAAAACTAAAATAAATCTCTCCTTTCAAGGAATCTGCTGAATTATCTACGGTTAGATTTCGTCAAGTACGAAGTAGTCTCCCGAATTTTATTTTATCATGTCATTTGTTGCCATTACATATCAGGAGCCTCAAAAACTGTTTCCATAAGCGGTTGGCGATGGTGCACTTGGCAGCTGAGCCCGGAAAAGGGGCCGTAATTCAAAATTAAACCCAAACAGACAGAGGTCTCATGGGCAGCATTAGACCGCCGTTAGCCGCAGCTTTTACTGAAATCCCTAGATGTCTAAAAAAAATTGTTATTATAATAAATTTTGTGTAATGGAATCGTATCAAAAAGAATACAATTTATTGACAAGAGTAGCTCTCTACTTTCTGGTTGCACTAATGAATGTTTCTCTAATTTTGTCATTGTTAAAACCAGAGGACAGGTTTGACTTTTCCTTCTATATTGTAATTGCAGTTTGCTTTGTGGCACGACCATAAAGTTGTTTCCTCTTGGACTTTACCGGTTACTCAAATTGCATTTCATATTTGTTTGAATATCAGCAGACATTTCATTTATCTTAGATTCAGCGATTTACGGAGACAACTAGTCTTTGTGACATTATGAGCTTCTGTTTACCCTTTTCCCATTAGCAACCCAAACATGAGCACAAAAATACACACTTTGAAATTTATTACAATGAAAAAATAAGCCTATTATGACAATTTCAGCGCCGTATCGAAAAGACAATCTTATTCTAACTCGGAACAAGATGTCTCCGCAAGACCTACTTTGTTGTCCGAAAAGTATGGATTAGTAGGCGTAAGTATCCGATATCGCTTACTAGATTCTTTTTAAATTCTCAAGAAGTATTTAGATTTACAGGCAACAGCCACCACATCACATTAAAAAATAAAACTGAGCGCAAATCATTTGAAGCTGAACTGAAGAGAGAGTATTGAAGCCATTTCAGTGCACAAATGCATACATTTCGTTTGGATGAGGTGTTAACGCCAAAAAGTTTTAAATGATTCTGTTGCTAGTTTGAAACAGTTTAATGGAGGACTTCTCGATTCTTCAGACCTTATTCGAGCCATAGACTCGGCAAATATCCAAATTTGAAATTTTTCACTTTTTTCCTTCCTTCTTGAAATGCCCTTGATTTGTGTGAAATCCAAACTGAATGGAGGCAACAAAGAAGGTGAGATACAATTTTGAAGTAGTGTTACTGAAAGTAACGGATGAGGGAGATCTTTTTTACTTAGCAAAATTAGAATCTAAATTCAAGGATTTAGGAGTTATGTATTAAAGAAATGATATTTCCCTGACGATCAACAAAGGAGAGTTGAAGATAGCGGAAATTTGTGTCAGTAAGGAGAAATTTAGATATCAAAGAATGACGGGCAGAGAGATTACTGGATATTTCTGTTTGACTTCACGCGAATAAGACACGAACGCGAGGACAGAAATTGAAATTTTCCTTGAAAAGCAATGATTTCATTAGATTCAAAGCGAAGGAGATCACAAAAAGAAATTTTTTTTAATTTATTCGGATGACTGTTAATTATTCGAAAGGGAAGACAAAATACAAATTTTTTTTCAGAAAATCGTTGAGATTCTTCCTAGGTTTTTACCACCTTCTTAGTGCAATGAAGAGACTAGGCTTTCCCTAGGCACTTCCTTAATAGGATGAAAATCTTGTTTTCAAATTTTTTAGAGAAATTTCTTAAGATTTTTACTTTGTCATAAGTCTAGCAAAATCTTTCCAGCCTCGTAGTAATGTGATACGAGTTCACCGAATTGAAGTGCGTTTCCCAGGAACCTTGAAAAAAATTTTCAGTATCATACTGAATATTTTTTTTTGAGTATTGTCCATGCGATTGCAATTTTCTGAAGTTACCAGCTTCCTCTGAAAGATACATAAGAAAAGTGCCTGATCGATTTTCAAAGGTACCTGGCCAAATTGTTTTGCTTGTGTTTTATCCTTTATTTCAGTGGGTAAAGAGTACATACAAAAAAAAACAGTGAAATAACAAATCTATATATACACATATGTTTTCGGTGAAATTACAGTTAATTGTGATATTGTTCTGTTATGAAGTTTATTCGAAAGTATTTTTGAATCCAAAAAGGGATATTCTGTATCATAAACGTGGTGCCAATGAAAAAGCAAACACTCATGGCTTGCATTTGCTTAGGGGGGATTTTGATGAAGTACGCGAAAATGAAAGGCAAATAAGGAAATAAAGACAGTTTATACAAGTGAAAAGTTATACTTACTTAAAACAGAAATGTTCACAGACTTGAATGCCAGACCACTTATTACAATTTATGAGTTTTTGGAGAAAAAAAATTGAAATATGACATGAGCTTGGATATGGAAACCATGTAGGGAGAATGTTTTTTACAACAAGACCAAGTGCAACCGGTAAAGGAGCAATGGAATATTGACAAGAGAGAGACATCTTGGTTCTTCTCAAAGAACGGGCATGTTTTTGAAAAGTGCTTTGAAGTAATGTGTTTATTTTCTTTCCAAAAGCTTGACACTGAGCCTGAAAATGGGATTGCAGGCTGGGAATATGACAGCAATTGTAAACACATCTCTGAGGTAAAACGATTTTGCAATGTCACTTATGAAGGAGATATTTTCAATGTAGCCCCGTTTTTCACTATCCCATGAAAGTTAATGACAGGCACCTGCTCATAACAAGTAAGTCTTTTTTTTATTATTATTTTTGAAAGGGATGATAACAACACAGGTCTATAACATGACTGAGAAACAACTAGTGCCTTGATTGGTCAAAAAACCAATCATTAATTGCACAGGTAAACCCGAAACATTTTAAGCTTATTTTACAAAAGCAATAAACCGCAATTTCCATCGATTTACCGTCGTCATAATCCACTTAGGATGTTGGGAAAAAACGCGAAAAGTTCATAAACCGTTAATACTCATGTTCATCCAACATCCCAAGTGGGTTATTACGCTGGTAAACCAATAGAAAGTGTGGTCCATTGCTTAAATAACAAGCATTCCTTCGCCCGAAAATATGTTCGACACCGATGTCGTTGCGTGCAGGTTCAACGTCTAATGTGTACTCAAACGGTTGGAACACAATTTCATTCTTTTTCTCATAAGAGTAAATTCTAACGTTTCGCATTATTTTTGAATAAGAACAAAACAAAGTAGCATCTCCAACTTTAAGTGTTTTTATTTTGACGATAAAATATTTCATTCTCAGACATTATTTCCTCACGAACTGTTGCTAAAACATCATATCTTTACTAGGATGCCTCTTTTGCAAGCGATAAAGATCCCCTGTTGGATATTGTATGGCGTATTTTTCACAAACTATGGATGCAGCCAGTCAAATATGTGCGCAATAAAGCCATGTACAGTTAAACAATACAGCTTTTCCAGAGAGAGAAACAGTATGGAGAATCACGCCCTTTATGACCACAGTTTTAAAAACCTGACAGTGCAGAGTCACAAGGACTGTTTTGAGAACTGTGCGTGGGACTGTCGATGTAAGTCGTTCAACTTTGTAACAAGAATGAAGCTGAAAAACTGTAACCTGAATGAACAAGACAGATATGTGGAACCTGGGGCATTGAAGAGGACAATTGGATTTAGCTATCACGAAATTGGAATTGAGTATAACGTTAAGGTATGATAAACAAATTTCTGTTTTGATTAAGCAAGAGTGAAAGCAAATTCAGTTAAGGAATTTTATTTCGGCGGGAGATGTGGTGGCCACTATGACGGTTAGTTCGCTGGACTTCGGGTTGAGATGTCTGGGTTCGAGACCTGGCCAGCTCGTTGTATTGTGTTCTTGGGCTAAAAACTTACTCCTTTACAGTGCCTCTCTCCAACCAGGAATATAAATATGTG